CGGATAACCGCATCAGTAGGAGAAGTATCGGAGTAGTAGTGTACTACTACTAGCCAACCGCGCTGATTGGGGGTGCGGGGAAAGCACAACAAACTAAACACAACAACGAGCAGTTCTAAAGAAATGAGTTTTAAATTTAGTACAGCGGTGCAGTGTATTGTAGTGTAGTATATATTTTGGAGGGGGGGAGGCATTCTTTGCGTGAACCGCGAGCGGAATGCCGGGCACGTGGCGGCCGCAGCCTTCCCATGCGTTCAATACGGGGTGTGTATGTGTGCGTGCGTGTGTCTTTGCCTTTGTACGTGTGTGTGTGTGAGGGTCTGTACATGTGTAATAAAAGGGACTCGGACACTTCCTTCTGTCTTCGTGTCTTTTATTGGGTTCTCGTCCTCACCCACACGGCACTCTGTTATAACTCTGTATTTGTAGCCCCCGGCTATTCACTGCTATTATAGCTCCTTCTTCCCTCTGACTCTCCGCTTCATCTACTGTAACCTCCTCCCTGCAGACTCGCTGCTACCTCTATGCAGACTCCCGCTGCTACCCCTATGTGCAGACCCTCTGGCTGCTACCGTATGCAGACCCGCTGCTGACTCTGTATGCAGCCCCGCTGCTGACTCTCTGTGCAGCCCCGCTGCTGACTGCAGCCTCCTCGCTGCTTCGGGTCGGTCACCGCTGGCCAACGGTGCCGATCCTCGCTCCCCCGTGTTCGTGGCGATCTCGCCACCCTCCGCTTCGCCCTTCGTGGCCTCTCTCTGTTCCTGGTTCCCCGTCACTCCCCATCCTCTTCCGGTTCCCCTCCTTCTATACTCAACCCCTCTCCCCCCACGTGACCTAACTCCTCCCCTCATGACGGCACCTCCGGAGGGCCGTTTACACCCGCATTACACATGTATGACGCATCAGCCAGTCGTCTCAGTCAGTCGAACCGTGGCACCTGCGTCTGCCCCGTGACCTCCTGTCAGCGGGGCGTTCGACACTTCACGTGGCCTCAAGGTGCACATAGCCTGGCACAAGTGTCGTCCATCCCCTCGTGTACCGTGCCAGTCCCTTGTGTACTATGCCAGCCTTCATAGGTGCTCGCTAACAGAACTGTGCCCCAACAGTCTGTTGAGTGTGTGTGTGTGGGGAGCGGTAGTGTAGGCTATACGGGGGTCTTTGTTGTATGTGGTCTGTGTGTGGTGTGTGTATTGTTAGCTTCACACTTGAATGGAGGTCTGCTGATGATGATTTTGCATGGCTGACGAAGAGCGACGATTTAAAGATGCAGGTCTTCGTGATCGTTGGCTCTTCATTGACGCTCGGTCTTGAAAGTTGGTGAACAGCAGATACTCACGGCTCGCTCGTCAAATCGGCCACTCACTCGCACACCCACTCACTGAGGCTCCAGTTTAGCGCGGTTGGCTCTGTATGGTGCGAAAGAAGTTGAACCTACATAATCTCGGTAAAAGTTATAGCCGATTTGATACGCATGGTCGTTTGCCAGGTGCCTGTGTGACCACGCCGGATCTCTGTGCAATGAGTGTACGAATCTCTGTGTAATGAGTGTACGAATCTCTGTGTAATGAGTGTACGGGTCTCTGTGGGTCGCTGCGTGAGTCTATGAGACTCTCTATGCGAGTTCGTGTGTCCTGATGTAAGTCATTGGCAACGATCGCCCTGGAGGAGGCGGGATGGTGGAGAGGGGGGGTCAGAATGACGGCAAAAAGGGGGGGAGATGGGGAGGGGGGGGGAGATGGAGAGGGGGGGGGGGGAGATGGAGAAAGGGGGGGATGTTACCTACTTCGCCTGGTGTACAGGAGATTATGGGTTCGATCCGGAGAGGGGAGAGATGTAGATGGGTGGGTGGAGAGGGGGGTGGTGATGTTACCTACTTCGCCTGGTGTACAGAAGGTTATGGGTTCGATCCGGAGAGGGGAGAGATGTAGATGGGTGGGTGGAGAGGGGGGTGGTGATGTTACCTAATTCGCCTGGTGTACAGAAGGTTATGGGTTCGATCCGGAGAGGGGAGAGATGTAGATGGGTGGGTGGAGAGGGGGGTGGTGACGTTACCTACTTCGCCTGGTGTACAGAAGGTTATGGGTTCGATCCGGAGAGGGGAGAGATGTAGATGGGTGGGTGGAGAGGGGGGTGGTGATGTTACCTACTTCGCCTGGTGTACAGGAGATTATGGGTTCGATCCGGAGAGGGGAGAGATGTAGATGGGTGGGTGGAGAGGGGGGTGGTGATGTTACCTACTTCGCCTGGTGTACAGAAGGTTATGGGTTCGATCCGGAGAGGGGAGAGATGTAGATGGGTGGGTGGAGAGGGGGGTGGTGATGTTACCTACTTCGCCTGGTGTACAGAAGGTTATGGGTTCGATCCGGAGAGGGGAGAGATGTAGATGGGTGGGTGGAGAGGGGGGTGGTGATGTTACTTACTTCGCCTGGTGTACAGGAGATTATGGGTTCGATCCGGAGAGGGGAGAGATGTAGATGGGTGGGTGGAGAGGGGGGTGGTGATGTTACCTACTTCGCCTGGTGTACAGAAGGTTATGGGTTCGATCCGGAGAGGGGAGAGATGTAGATGGGTGGGTGGAGAGGGGGGTGGTGATGTTACCTACTTCGCCTGGTGTACAGAAGGTTATGGGTTCGATCCGGAGAGGGGAGAGATGTAGATGGGTGGGTGGAGAGGGGGGTGGTGATGTTACCTATTTCGCCTGGTGTACAGGAGGTTATGGGTTCGATCCGGAGAGGGGAGAGATGTAGATGGGTGGGTGGAGAGGGGGGTGGTGATGTTACCTACTTCGCCTGGTGTACAGGAGATTATGGGTTCGATCCGGAGAGGGGAGAGATGTAGATGGGTGGGTGGAGAGGGGGGTGGTGATGTTACCTATTTCGCCTGGTGTACAGGAGGTTATGGGTTCGATCCGGAGAAGGGGGGGGGGTGGAGATGGGGGGTGGAGATGGGGGGGCGGGGTGGAAGCGACGACAACGCCGCGTGATGTTGGCATGCCCCCCCCCCCCCGCGTGACGTTAGCGTGCCCCCTCCCACTCGCGTGACGCCGGCAAGAACTTAAAGCACCGGGTACCGGTGCTGGCGTCACGTCGTGTGCCGTCTCGGTCGCCACGCCGCGCCGCGTCTGTCCTCCGCGACCGATGGGTTTGGGCGAGATGTTGACTCCCTCGCCCGGTGTACGAGAGGTCGTGGGTTCCATCCCGACCCTGGTGCCTGCTGTATATTTGGAGTTTGCGTATTCTTCCCATGGTTGCGTGGATTTTTATCGGGGTCGTCCGGTTTTTCCCTCCACATTTCTAAACAGCGTTTTAGAATATTCTTGGTTCTTTCGGTAAAATAAAAAAGAATAAAATTAAAATGTTTTATTTTATTATTATTTTATTATTTCCCTTCTACGTCACTTTACCAAAAGAGACAAGAATATGAATCCCTGCAGTCACGTAAGCTCTAAATCGAAATTGAGAATTCTAGAATTATTTGGCTGCGATACATTTCCACGTGATGATAAGCCGCCTCTTCGTTGGGCCAAAATAAAAAAAATAGTTTAAGGACGAGGAAATGGAAGCGCCCAGGCAAAATTCACGCGTGCGTGCGAGGGGGGAGCGCTTTATCCCGCACAGACGGAACAGTTGGAGGTCAACTTTTTTGCCGTACCGCCTCGTCCTGGCAGAGCCAGGCAGGGTTAGCGGCGTCCTCTCCGATGGAACGTGGCTTGGCTTGGCTTGGCTCTGCGTGGTTTGGCGTTTCTCGTCGCTTGGTGTGGCGTGACCACGCGTGATGTCACGTGGCGGTGACGTCGCGTGCCTCATCGATCGACGTGGTTGCTTGTACGAACTTACGTTGAGCTTATTTCTTTCGCACCGTACGTAGCCAACCATGCAAATCGGAGGTGGGGGGGTGGGAAGGACAGTGCAAAGTTCTAAAGAAATGTGTGAGATGCGTGCGGTGTGTATGAATTTCTATTTAAAGCTTTCGTGACTGCAGGGATTCATCTTCTTGGTTCTTTCGGTAAAGTCACGTAGAAGGGAAATAATAAAATAATAAAAATAAAACATAATAAAATAATTCTCACGACGTTTCGACCACAACGCAAGCAGCCGTCCTCAGGTGAAGACCAGGTCTGTCGGGGAGACAGCGTCTGAATGAAACACCACCACGCTTGGGGCGTATATTTTAAGCTGGGTTGGAACGGGAAGAGCGCCTTGACAAAATAATTTTCATATCAAGAGGAATTTAGCATATTTATGGGAAATGCAGATATGTGATTAGTACTACCATGTGTGTATGGTTCGTGCAGTTCATGCGGTGGTGCAGTTCATGCGGTTCATGCGATATGTTTCATGCAGAGCGCGTTCAAGTGGTGCGGTTCAGTGTGGTTCGTACGTAATGTATGTTGAGATAGCCTTTGGGTGAGAGAGTTGATCGGTGAGGTGAGCGTGTGGGTGAGTGAACGAGTAAATCGGTGAGTGAGTGATTGAGTGAGCGGGTGGGTGAGCGGGTGGGCGCGTGAATCGGCGAGTGAGTGAATTTATGGTTTCACTCGTGGGTGAGTAGTGGATGGTTTCACAAGTGGTTAGTGGATGAAGTGAGTGAACGAGTAAATCGGTGAGTGAGTGATTGAGTGAGCGGGTGGGTGAGCGGGTGGGCGCGTGAATCGGTGAGTGAGTGAATTTATGGTTTCACTCGTGGGTGAGTAGTGGATGGTTTCACAAGTGGTTAGTGGGTGAAGTGAGTGTGCGAGTGAATCGGTGATTGAGTTGATGGTTCCTCCATTGGTAAGTGGGTGAGTAAGTGTGAATTTCTTCTCTCCCACCGTGCTTATCGTTCTGGTTTTGGTTGTGGTTCTGCCACCCTTGTGCCAAGATGACAATGTCTGGCATGACTCTCCTCCGTCCGTCCATCTGTCCGTCCGTGTCTCTCACTCTGTCTCTCCCTCCGCCCTCACCCCCTCACCTACCACCCTCGCCCTCCACCACCTCCCCCACCCACCCACGCGGCGCCAGCAGGACGCGTTGCCCATCTGGTCGGACGCGTCTCCCCCGTGGCGGGCCTACTCCCCGCGCCGTAGCCCCGCCAGCCTGCGCCACCACCAGCTGCAGCCGCCGTTGCAGCGCCATTCGGCACGCTCGCACTCCAGCGTGCGCTCCGCCGTGTCTTGCGGCGCCGGATCTTCCCCCAACGCCGCCGGCATCCGGCACGTGGCATCTACGGCGTCGTTGCGAGCCGGCACCGGCGGTGGCGGTGGCGGTGGTGCCTATGGCGGTGGCGCCAGGCGGCGCGGGGGTGCACGCGCGCAGCCCCTCCGCCACCAGCCTGGGCTCCGTCTTCGAGGTGAGGTTCTTGGGGATGTTAAATTTCGATTTAAAGCTTTCGTGACTGCAGGGATTCATCTTCTATGGTTCTTTCGGTAAAGTCACGTAGAACGGAAGTAAAAAAAAAAAAATATTTTTATTATGTTTTATTTTTATTATTTTATTACTCCCCTTCGACGTGACTTTACCGAAAGAACCAAGAAGATTTTATTTTATATTATTTTATTTTATTATGTTATTTTATTTTATTATGTTTTATTTTTTATTATTTCTTGGGGATGGTTGTGTAATGGGTTCCGGAGACACTTGTAGAGGTAACTTATTTATAATAACACTCTGGAGACGGCTTGTGGAATCGGTCCTTTTATTTACTTATCTCAGTTCACAAGCACTCCCCCCGTTGCTGGCAGGCAACGGGGGGCGGGCAGACAGATCGCAAGAGACGCAGCGCCACGTGGCACTCGGAGCCCCGTTCGCACGTGGCCCCTCTCTCTCTTCGTTCCTTGTCTGACCACGTGTCCCTCGGCTCTTCCCTTATTTAACGCCTGGGTCACGTGGTACACTCCAGCCAATCCTCAATAGCCTGCGCCGAATGTTCCAGATTCCCCCCATCAACTCCCGGAACCACGACCCTGACTTGTCTTCCCATTGGCTGAGGCCAAGACCAGCAGAACCAATCATCCTAGCTGACATCCCTCGATCACGCCACGGCCATGCTCCCAGGCTCTCCCCCCATTGGCTGTAGAGTAGGACCGGCAGAGCCGATCACCACGTGAGCCGGACATAGGCTCTCATTACATATTTATTACAATACAACACTCCATTCAGTCCTCATACTCTGTTACAGCCTAGGTACACAGCCTAGGTACACAGCCTAGATACACTATTCTGGCTACGCTCTGGGGTCCTCCGGCTACAACTACCCTAGGGGTGGCTACCTGACCCGACCGAGCCAAGGTGCGGGTCTGGACTCTGGCTTCCTCGGAACTCGCCCTCACAAGGACGTAGAGCCGGGAGTCCCAGAGTCCCACCACTGGCCCTCACAGCGTCCCGGCCCTTACAAGGACAAGCGGGACCAGGGGGTCCAGGGTCCTAAGCTGGCTGGTCTTGGGTCTTGGGTCTTGAGCTGCGACTGGCCCCGATCGGCCAGGGAGCTGCCCTTTTATGCCTCGTCCCCAACGAGGGGTGGGGTTGTGTGCGCCCCCAGATATCCCACAGAGCACACACAGCCCCCCCCGTTGGTGGCGCCAAGGGGCTTAACTGGCTGGTCTGCCTGGGATCCTAGCGCCTGGCACCGACGGCTTATCTGCCTAGGATCCCAGAGCCCCCAGCAGCCCCTCCCCTCTTATGGCACTACAGTTGTACCGTGGTGGTTCGGAGATGTTAACTACCTCGCCGGGTATGCAGGGGTCGGTTCGGTCACCGACCCTGACGCTGTGAGCGGGAACGGAACTCGGGTCATCCTGCTTATTGTGGCCCAGAGGTCGCAAACGGGTTCCTTACCCGTACCCGTACCTGGCCGCACCAGGGTCGCAAATGGGTACCCGCACCCGTACCCGGCCGGGTATGGGTACCCATACGCTACCCGTACCCTACCCGAAATGAGTGACAAACGGTGACTCACCAGTGTCTCACGGTCTACCCGTACCCGTACCCGGCCGCACCAGGGTCGCAAACGGCTACCCGTACCCGGCCGGGTACGGGTAGCCGGGTATCGGGTAGGGTACGGGTATCGGGTACCCGGTTGCGACCGCTGTTGTGGCCCCACCTAACGCCGGTGACGATTCATCTGAACTGGTCCCGGGCCTCTCCTAGGTCTACTTGGCCTCATTAGCACCTGGTGCGGTGTGTAGTAAACATCACCACTGGGGAGACAAAGGCGGTCGGGCGTGGTGCTGGCCACCCACCCCCTTCGTGTGCCGTTCCGGCCTTCATCGGTGCTTTCTAACAGCACTTGCCCCAACAGTCTCTTCAGGCTATACGGGGAATCTTTGTCTTTGGAGAGCTAGTGTAGTGGTTAGCAGCACGCTGCACTTGAGTACCTGGCGACCCGAGTTCGATTCCCGCTCACGGCCAACACCAGCGACGATTACACTGGTCAACACACTTTTTTTGGCATAAGGTATTCCAACGGTTTTAAGGTAATTTTGGGGTGCTGATTCCAAATCTGGCATCAGTTTTTGTGATATCAAATATTGCATTTTCAATAAAAAATGCAGAAGAAAAATAATAAATAAATGTGGATATCTACATGAAATGATATTATAAACACACTATCCTAAAAATACAGCACCATATTTTAACACTAAAGCAGCCACTGACTCGCAACAACTTGCAATCATAAGTGACAGAGTTAATTTCGGGTAAAATCAATGAAAATGGGGTATGCCGATAGCATCAAAGTGAGATGTGATATAGCAAATCTGAGATCAGATTTGGAATCGGCACCCTGAAATTAGTCTAAAACAGCTGCAAAAGTCCAGGCCAGAATTTTTTTTTTGTTGACCAGTGTTATCGGTGTGCAATTAACACACCGCCCCTGGGGGAGACAAAGGCCACCCACCCCCTCGTGTGCCGTGCCAGCCTTCATAGGTGCTTTCTAACAGCACTTGCCCCAACACTCTCTTCAGGCTATACGGGGGATCTTTGTCTTTTGGAGAGCTAGTGTAGTGGTTAGCAGCACTTGAGTACCTGGCGACCCGAGTTCGATTCCCGCTCACGACCAACACCGGCGACGATTATCGGTGTGCGACAAACACCGCCGCTGGGGGAGACAAAGGCCACCCACCCCCTCGTGTGCCGTGCCGGCCTTCGTAGGTGCCGCTTTTCGCTAACAGCACTTGCCCCAACAGTCTCTTCAGGCTACACTGAGTTGGGGGGGGGAATCTTTGTCTTTGTGCGTCAGGCCGAGGGGCACGGCGCGAGCGTGGACCCGGGCGACGTTTCGCGTCTCACGGCCGACGTGCGCCTCTTCACCGACGCGCTCGGCAAGCTCCGTGACGTCTTCTCCAACCCAGGTGGGGGCCGCTGTGGGGGGGGGGGGGCTGTGGGGGGGGGGGGCTGGGGGGGGCGGTGGGGGGGGGTAGGAGTCCTAACGTTTAGTTTGATTCGTGTTTGCGTGATTTGTTTACCTTTCTTGTAATGTGCACTGCCATCGTGTTTTTTGTGTTGTTGTTGTCACGTTTATACCCCGTGTCCCCTTGACAAAGAGCTTCATAGCTCTTCTTGGTTTTTTCGGTAAAGTCACGTAGAAGGGAAGTAATAAAATAATAAAAATAAAACATAATAAAATAATTCTCACGACGTTTCGGCTACAACGCAAGCGGCCGTCCTCAGGTGAAGCAGCCGTCTTCAGGTGAAGACGGCTGCTTGCGTTGTAGCCGAAACGTCGTGAGAATTATTTTATTATGTTTTATTTTTATTATTTTATTACTTCCCTTCTACGTGACTTTACCGAAAGAACCAAGAAGATGAATCCCTGCAGTCACGAAAGCTTTAAATTCGAAATCTTTCGGTAAAGTCACGTAGAAGGGAAATAATAAAACAATAAAATTAAAACATAATAAAATACAATTCTCACAGCGTCTGTCTTTCCGACAGACCTGTTCTTCACCTGAGGACGGCTGCTTGCGTTGTGGCCGAAACGTCGTGAGAATTATTTTATTATGTTTTATTTTTATTATTTTATTACTTCCCTTCCACGTGACTTTACCGAAAAAATCAAGAAGATGAATCCCTGCAGTCACGAAAGCTTTAAATCGAAGCTTCATAGCTCGTCTGATTTATGAAATTGCTAAATGTTGCAGTGGGTTTACCCTCCCAACACGCAACCGATTGGCACGTTTTGTTGTTTACGTGACGAAACTTTACTCGTTGGCTGTGTCGGGTGGTGGTGGTGGCGGGTTTAACGACGCATTTATATTTACGCGATCCAACCCAACAGAAACAACCTCCTATTATGGATCCTAACGCTTGTTCACTTACAAAGACCAAGGTTCCCCCCCCCCCCTTGTAGCCTTCAACGGGTCGTTGGGGCAAGTGCTGTTAGGGAAGGCGCCGACGTGGCTAGGAGATGTTAACTACCTCGCCTGGTGTACAGGAGGTCGTGGGTTCGATCCCGACCCTGACAACACCTGCTGTATACTTGGAGTTTGCATGTAGCGAGATGTTAACTACCTTGCCCGGTGTACAGGAGGTTGTGAGTTCGATCCCGACCCCGACAACACCTGCTGTATACTTGGAGTTTGCATGTAGCGAGATGTTAACTACCTCGCCTGGTGTACAGGAGGTCGTGGGTTCGATCCCGACCCTGACAACACCTGCTGTGTATTTGGAATTTACATGTAGCGAGATGTTAACTACCTCGCCCGGTGTACAGGAGGTCGTGGGTTCGATCCCGACCCCGACAACGCCTGCTGTATATTTGCAGTTTGCATGTAGCGAGATGTTAACTACCTCGCCTGGTGTACAGGAGGTCGTGGGTTCGATTCCGACCTGTATATTTGTGGTTTGTGTGTGCTCTCTCTTTCTTTCCCCGTGGTTGTGTGGGTTTTTCTCCTGGTCCTCCGGGTTTTCCCCTTCCCATCACACATTTTTATTATTTGGATACCTTCATGAATTTCCACATGACGATTATGACAAGCTATCGTTTATGATGGCCAGGTCGATCCTGAAGTGGGGCCTTACCTGGTAAAATAAAAACATATTTTGAATGTGAAGACCGGCACTGAGCCCAGCCACATTTGTCTCCCTGATGTTTACACACTGCACTTGGTACTCGTTTACGGTCAAGTCGACTTAGGGGAGGCCCAGGACTGGTTGAGATAATCGCCACCGGTGTTGATGAGCGCGAGTGGGAGTCAAACTCGGGCCACCAGGTCCGTGGCGCAGTGCACACACACGAACACGTCATAGCTACTGATTGGCCCAAAACTACCATGCGGTGTTTGAGGCTGCAGGGTTGTTGACCGCTCACCCATCTACTCACCCACCCAATCACTGGCTCGCTCGCTCACTCGCTCACCAACTCACGCACTCACCCATCCACTCACCCACCCAATCACTGGCTCGCTCGCTCGCTCGCCAACTCACGCACTCACCCGTCCACTCACCCACCCAATCACTGGCTCGCTCGCTCGCTCACCAACTCACGCACTCACCCGTCCACTCGCCCACCCAATCAATGGCTCGCTCGCTCGCTCACCAACTCACGCACTCACCCGTCCACTCGCCCACCCAATCAATGGCTCGCTCGCTCGCTCACCAACTCACGCACTCACCCGTCCACTCACCCACGCACTCGCTCAGCCTACTCACTCACAAACTCACTCACTCGTCCACTCACCCACCCAATCACTGGCTCGCTCGCTCGCTCACCAACTCACGCACTCACCCGTCCACTCGCCCAACCAATCACTGGCTCGCTCGCTCGCTCACTCACGCACTCACCCGTCCACTCACCCACCCAATCACTGGCTCGCTCGCTCGCTCACCAACTCACGCACTCACCCGACCACTCACCCACCCAATCAATGGCTCGCTCGCTCACCAACTCACGCACTCACCCGTCCACTCACCCACGCACTCGCTCAGCCTACTCACTCACAAACTCACTCACTCGTCCACTCACCCACCCAATCACTGGCTCGCTCGCTCGCTCGCTCACCAACTCACGCACTCACCCGACCACTCACCCACCCAATCAATGGCTCGCTCGCTCGCTCACCAACTCACGCACTCACCCACTCACCCATCCACTCACCCACGCACTCGCTCAGCCTACTCACTCACAAACTCACTCACTCGTCCACTCACCCACCCAATCACTGGCTCGCTCGCTCGCTCACCAACTCACGCACTCACCCGTCCACTCGCCCAACCAATCACTGGCTCGCTCGCTCGCTCGCCAACTCACGCACTCACCCGTCCACTCACCCACCCAATCACTGGCTCGCTCGCTCGCTTACCAACTCACACACTCACCCGTCCACTCACCCACGCACTCGCTCAGCCTACTCACTCACAAACTCACTCACTCGTCCACTCGCTCGCCAACTCACTCGCTCGCCCACCCTTGAACTCGCCCACGCACTCCTCAACACGCTCCCTCACCCATCAACTCGGACGCCATCGTGGTGAGATGTTAACTACCTCGCCTGCTATATAGGAGGTATACAGGATGTCTCGTGGGTTAGATCCCAACCCTAATGCCTGTATATTTGGAGTTTGCGTGTTCTCCCTGTGGTCATGTGGATTTTTATCCGGGTCCTCCGGCTTTCCCCTCCACATTTACAATTGGGTTTAGATTATTTGGCTGCTGCTGAGAAAAGGCTATGGAGCTCCGTGGACCTTTCCTTGAAAAATATAAATAGTTCAGTAACGAATTCACTCACTCACTCACTGAACCAGTGAACGAGTCGCCCACCCACCAACTCATTTGCTCGCTCGCTCGCCCACCAACTCGCTCGTTCACGAACTCGCCCATTCACCCATTCGCTCGCCAATACACCCACCGACCCGTGTATATCCAACCACTGCAGTGCATACAAAAGACATAAACAGATTGTGTGGGAAAGTAGTGTTAGCAAGCACCTATGAAGGCTGGCGTGGCACGCGAGGGGATGGGTGTCCGGCACCGCACGCGGCCGCATTGGCCTCCCGAGTGGCAACGTTTGCACGCCGCACCGGGGTACGCATTTGAGGCCGAGTCGACCTAGAGGAGGCCCAAGACCTGATCAGATTAATCCCCACAGGTGTATCGGTGACCGTTGAGCGGGAATCGATCTCGGGTCGCAGCCGGGACGCGCAGCGCAGCGCAACTAACAGCTGCGCGAAAAACTCGCACGGGACATTTTCATTTCATTCCGAAACTTTCCCCGTGCATCTGAAAGTTGAGGCTGGTACGGGGGGATGGAGATGGGGGGTAGTGGGGATGTTGCTTTGGGACGGTCGCTGGGATTGTTGACTGCTCCTAAGCTCACCCAGAACGGGGCATTATCTGATTTTAAGTGGAGTGTTTGTGAGTAATTTGCCCCCTCCTATAAGAAGTGTGTGTTTATACGAGCGAGCCAGTGTTTGTTTACATATACACGCTGTTTTTGTTTATTCGGGTATACCGGCCCGCTGCCGTCTGTATATGTGTGTGTGTGTACGCGGAGCGGTGGCGCAATGGTTAGCGCCCCACGCTACGACACTGGTGACGGTTATTTGAACCGTTCCTGGGCCTCCCCTAGGTCGACTAGGCCTAAAATGAGTAACCTGGTGGTAGGGCGTGGTGCCGGCCATCCACCCGTTCATGTGCCATGCTGGCCTTAATAGCTTTCGGTCTGTCGAGAAGACTCGGACCTGTTCGTCACCTGAGGACGGCTGCTTACGTTGTGGCCGAAACGTCGTGAGAATTATTTTATTATGTTTTATTTTTATTATTTTATTATTTCCATTCTACGTGATGACAGCACTTGCCCCAACTGCCTGGTAAGGCTATACGGGGGATCTTTGTCTTTGTGTATACACACGTGTGTGTGTGTGTGTGTATACACGTGTGTGTGTGTATACACGTGTGTATATATACGTGTGTGTGTGTGCGTGCAAGCTTTTCCCCTGGGAAGCTGATTGGAGTTTTGAGGTTTTGCCCTCTTCCTCTGCCTGGGCGTGGCCCGGAAGCCTGTGATCACCACCGCCACCACCACCACTACTACCACCATTACTACCACCCCCACTAACACTGCCACCACCACCACTACTACCACCATTACTACTACCACCCCCACCACTAACACCGCCACCACCACTACTACTACCACCATTACTACCACCACCACCACCACCACTACTACCACCATTACTACCACCACCCCCACCACTAACACTGCCACCACCACCACCATTACTACCACCACCCCCACCACTAACACTGCCACCACCACCACCACTACCACCATTACTACCACCACCCCCACCACTAACACTGCCACCACCACTACTACTACCACCATTACTACCACCACCACTAACACTG